TAACTAGAGAGACTCCTCCTCAAAAACAGGTGGAAGAAGAGAATGGACTTCCAAAAAGTTGCTCTCTACATACATGCTGTGTGACACATGTATGACACACATGTCACACACAAACACAAAGTTGTCATCTGTCCTTTGTACATACTGTGTCATTAATACACACACACTCACAGACATACAAATACACACATACACTGTGACACATATGTAACACACATACACTCACACACACATACACATATGCAAATAAACAAATAAGAATACCTCTTTAAATTAAAAAGATAAGTTGAATACACAAACAGGTGTGTATTATTTATGGAAAAGAGACCCAACTTTATAGTATTTTCTTCACATTGATAAACAGATGCAGAACAAAAAATCAACAAGCATAACTTGATACATCCATCTTAAAAATAAAAGGACTAGCAAAAATCACTTGAGAGAAAAGATCACCACAAGGTAAGATGTTGCCAAGAAACTCAAGTATGTTTATAAAATTTGAGTAGTTAGGGAGGCATACTGGATGCTGGGGAATGACCCAGAAGGGAAAGCAGAGAAGAGGGAATGCAGAAACAGGCCACACAGATGTTAGAGCCTCCTGTGACAGAGGTGGTGTTGCAAGTCCATGGTGAAGCAAGGACAAACCGTTAGAACTCTCTTCATTGTCAAGAAGTAAAATGCATTGTAAACCTCCAGACAGAAAATGATCAACTCTGGATTATTTAGGAATGCAGATGTGAAAAGAACTTTTTAAAGAGCAGGAGAGGGATACTGCTCTCTGGGGGTCTTCAATACAGCCGTCTAGTGGGTCAATTAATGAGAGAACCCATAGCTTTATTAGGAGCATGGAAGCATCACACACAAAACAAGTGAATGTCCTAAAACTCGTTGGGTCCTAGATGAGCATGTACCTTCCTCATAGGAGTGGGAGCACGTGGAAAATTTAGAGAGAGTAAATTATTGGGGAGAGGGGCTGGAGAGATGGCTCAGCAGTGAAGAGCTCTGCCTGTTCTTCCAGAGGTCCTGAGTTCAATTCCAGCAACCACATGGTGGCTCACAACCATCTGGAATGAAATCTAGCGCCCTCTTGAGGAAGAGACCTGGTCAGTCGTCCTCATCAGTATAGACCATGAACCCCAATACGGACAAGTTCAACAGAACAGGCTGCCTGTGCATCTTCAAAAATAAGAAAAATTTTTAGAGGAAGTGTGGATGGGCACTCAGAAGACTAGATAGTGGCCTGATGTCACTCTACAGTCCCCTCTCCTGTGACAGGAGACGACGCTTCCCGGGTGGTGGACACTGTGGGCTCTTTTCCTGTTGCTCTGGTAAAACACCCTGAACAAAGGCGACTTAAGGATTTATTCGGCTCATAATCTCAGGTGACAGTCATCACTGCAGAGAAATGAAGGTGGCAAGAAATTGAAGCAGCTGGCCACATCGCACACGCAGCTGGTCACATCACACCCACAACTGGTCACATCGCACCCACAGCCAATCACAACGCACCCATAGCTGGTCACATCCCACCCACAGCTGGTCACATCGCACCTGCAGCTGGTCACATCGCACACGCAGCT